AAGACCACGTTTAGTGTAATGCAGTCGTCCCTCGTGTATCCAGGGACTGCCTCGGTAGGGTGAATTTCCGCGAAGAAGGATTCTTTATTGATAAATGGAATATCTTCGTAGGCACATCATAAAAAAAGCTTTTCACGGCCCTCTGAATACGGTTTTTTAACATTATAAGACCCTCTGGGGGCGCTTGAATACATACGCCCGCAGTCCAGTCATTTTGATATTAAGACATGGGTGCATAAATTAATGACTCAGACAATGGAGCGCGCGCTGTATCATTTTCGCGATCTCGATCAACACTTTAAAGAGTACATGTTAGAGTTGAGAGGAAACACAAACGTGATGGAGTGTAGCCGCGAAATTCTAAGCACGAAGTGGCGAGGGGCGACTGTGCAACATTTTGTATAATACATCATTTAATGTGATACAACATCTGGTGCAACACAACATTTTCAACATTAAGTGCAATACAACGATGGTGCAATACAACATTTTCAACATTAAGTGCAATATAACGATGGTGCAATACAACATTTTCAACATTAAGTGCAATACAACGATGGTGCAATACAACATTTTCAACATTAAGTGCAATACAACGATGGTGCAATACAACATTTTCAACATTACGTGCAATACAACGATGGTGCAATACAACATTTTCAACATTAAGTGCAATACAACGATGGTGCAATACAACATTTTCAACATTAAGTGCAATACAACGATGGTGCAATACAACATTTTCAGCATTAAGTGCAATACAACGATGGTGCAATACAACATATTCAACATTAAGTGCAATACAACGATGGTGCAATACAACATTTTCAACATTAAGTGCAATACAACGATGGTGCAATACAACATGTTCAACATTAAGTGCAATACAACGATGGTGCAATACAACATTTTCAACATTAAGTGCAATACAACGATGGTGCAATACAACATTTTCAACATTAAGTGCAATACAACGATGGTGTAATACAACATTTTCAACATTAAGTGCAATACAACGATGGTGTAATAAACATATTCAACATTAAGTGCAATACAACGATGGTGTAATACAACATGTTCAACATTAAGTGCAATACAAAGATGGTGTAATAAACATATTCAACATTAAGTGCAATACAACGATGGTGTAATACAACATGTTCAACATTAAGTGCAATACAACGATGGTGTAATACAACATTTTCAATATTAAGTGCAATACAATGATGGTGTAATACAACATTTTCAACATTAAGTGCAAAACAACGATGGTGTAATAAACATATTCAACATTAAGTGCAATACAACGATGGTGTAATACAACATGTTCAACTTTAAGTGCAATACAACGATGGTGTAATACAACATTTTCAACATTAAGTGCAATACAACGATGGTGTAATACAACATTTTCAACATTAAGTGCAATACAACGATGGTGTAATACAACATGTTCAACATTAAGTGCAATACAACGATGGTGTAATACAACATTTTCAAAATTAAGTGCAATACAACGATGGTGTAATACACCATATTCAACATTAAGTGCAATACAACGATGGTGTAATACAACATGTTCAACATTAAGTGCAATACAACGATGGTGTAGTACAACATTTTCAACATTAAGTGCAATACAACGTTGGTGTAATACAACATTTTCAACATTAAGTGCAATACAACGATGGTGTAATACAACATTTTCAACATTAAGTGCAATACAACGATGGTGCAATACAACATCGCCAACGTTTAGTGTAGCACAACATCTTCAGTATTTAGTGTGAGAAACATATTCAACATTGAGTGTAAGGCAACATTTAATGTGATTCAACATCTAGTGCAATACAACATGTTCAACATTAAGCGTAATACAACATGTTCAACATTTAGTCTAATACAACATCTTCAACATTTAGTGTAATACAACATCTTCAACATTTAGAGTAACACAACATCTTCAACATTAAGTTGAACACAACATAGAATGTGACCCATAAATTACTGTTATTCAACATTCAGTGTGATACAACCAGCCAACATGACGAGCTGTTTCCAACATTATTCCAGACGCCAGATCTCACCGCCTTTCCCCACGTTGTCGTCTGACGCCCTCTTTAGAAATCCATCGGACATTCCAACCCCGTTCTTGAATCATCCCTGCTAAAAATAGATCCATTCTAAGTTTAATCTAAAACATGTATCAAACCAGTTACGTTCTGAGAACACAGAGACACACACACGCACGCACAGAGTTTCTGTTTCAGTTCACGGTGAAAGGCCCCGTCCAGGATGAGGTGAATGCACTTTACCTAACGTTTCCCTTTATAAGAGCTCAGGTGTTTGTGAGGCCGCAGAAGGTAATCTCCCGTTTATTGTATTCTACGATCTGCAAGCAAACGGCGAGGACCGTGGTTTGAGAGAGTGTGTGCGTGTGTGTGTTAGCAGACCTGGTAAATAACTAAAGTGGAAGCGGATGGTACAGGTAGGAATGTTGTTTTTTTTCAAAATTATGTGTTTTTGTGTTGTTTTTTTTAAAGATGTGTTTTATATTATACAAGTCAACTGTCTATCGATGACCTCTGACCTGACAAGGTGCTCGCGTAAGATCGGCCGTCATGTGTCAGCCATTTCTCTCGACGAACTTCTGGGCCTCTTTTAACTACTGCTCCTCAAGGTCACAGCATAAGACATTAATTAGCTACAATTTTCCCCAACATATTTGCATTAAATAGTTACAACAAAAAAAACTATATTTAAAAAGGAAATCAAATGAGTCACTGTTTCATTAAAGTTTTGTGACACATTACTTAAGTTTTCCAAAGTTTAAAAAAAAAAAAAATAACTAAAAAAACGAATTGCTGCTGTAAAGTCCATTGAAAACATTCTTGTACAAGATTGAATGAGTTGGACAAGGAAATGCTTTGAATTCTAAGTCAGACTTCCGTCGCACTTGTGAACCTTTGCAATTCCCCAGTGAGTTGTCTGTCACCAAAGAGTCACCAAGTCTTTACACTTTTTCATCCGACATTCCCGCAGTTCGCGTTCTTCTCCTTTTTTTAAATAACACCGTACGGACCAGGATCTTGTGGATAGATGGCTCTCATTTTGTATGGCCCATGATATTGAGGGTAGATGGCTCTCATTTTGTATGGCCCATGATATTGAGGGGGAGGGGGGATATCATTTCGTGAGGCCCATACTATTTTGGGGGGAGTGTTCCCATTTTTTAAGACCTGGGATAATGTGGAGAGAGGGTTTTCATTTTGTATCTCCAATGATATTGTGGGTAGAAGGTTCTCATATCGTATAGCCCAGGATAGGGGTTCTCATCTTGTATGGCCCAGGATATTGGTTTCTGCTATTGTAAAATCAAATTAATATCGGTCTTCGCCCCTGTTCTTCTCGTACACCCTCTAAGGTGCTACATTCGCCCTTGCTCCTCTCACACCTTCTAAAGTGCTACATTCGGTCCCGTGGTTCACTTACAACTTCTAAAGTGCTACATTCGGTCCCGTGGTTCCCTTACAACTTCTAAAGTGCTACATTCGGTCCCGTGGTTCCCTTACAACTTCTAAAGTGCTACATTCGGTCCCGTGGTTCCCTTACAACTTCTAAAGTGCTACATTCGCCCTTCCCCTCTCACACCTTCTAAAGTGCTACATTCGGTCCCGTGGTTCCCTTACAACTTCTAAAGTGCTACATTCGCCCTTCCCCTCTCACACCTTCTAAAGTGCTACATTCGGTCCCGTGGTTCACTTACAACTTCTAAAGTGCTACATTCAGCCACGTGGTTAAAAGAAAAAGCCAACGTTGCTATTCCTTAACGTTGGAGGCTTTCAATTGGAAAAACAAACTCTAGAATATCAACATTAAGAGCGTTTTAATTTAAAAAGGGGTCAAATCAGCTATTTTGATTGTTGATAATCCAATCAATACGTGCCGCCACAGACAGCACGTCTCTTCCGTGGGCCCGACAAATTGTTTTTTTTTTGCTTTGTTGTTATTTACCTAGGCCTAGGCCTATTCAAATGCCATACTAAGCACTTCCTTATAATTTTTATTACACATCACAACTCTCGGGCCCTAAAATATCCGAGGCAACCTGCAACTGCAAAAAGGGGGTGGGTGGTGGTGCAGGTCCCACGCGATGGCTCTGCTGGCCGTGTCAGTTATATTACCCCAAGAGCTGCTATTGGAATACTCGAGTAATGCCCTCAGAACATATAAGAATCACATAATACAATGCAGAAATCACATAGTAGAATGTAAGAATCACGTAACAATAAGCAAGAATCACAATAACAATACAAGCAAAATAAAATGCATGAATCACATACTCCAATACACATAATTCAATGCACGAATCACATAGTGCAATGCAAGAATCATATAATCCATGTCTCGTGCAGTGTGTGATGGGCAATGAGGTCGATTTACTTTTAAAAACTAAATTTTTTTTTTTTTTTGGTTTTTTATTGAACAGCTAAGCCATTTAGAACATAATTACAATTTACTTTTAAATCAAAATTTGGAACATGTAGATTGGCGTGTATGTGCTGACGCTTCCAAGCGTTCATACATAACGTTTATGGAAAACTATGTTGCATAACACATTTGAAGTGGAAATCTTTGATTGTTTAAAAACTTTCTCTCCGGGCAATGAAGAGTTATTGTTCGTCTTCATTTCAGGTCACTGGTGAGTTGTTTTTTTAAATCTTAGAGTTAATAGAAGAGTGAATGCATATCCGTTCCTAAAGTTTTTGATCCATGTCATAATCGTAAATTTAAAATAAAAAATAAAAATAATGCTGTTCCAGTTACTTCCGTCCTAATCAGAGCCACACAACATGTCAGCGGTGCTGGAGATAACCCTGGTTCGACTCACACTGGGTTGTGTCGCCATCGCTTTGCTGCCCCTCTTTGTCACGGCCTCGGCGCCAAAGGGCGGGGGGCAGACCTTAAAGATCTCCGGAGACGGCACGGCGCGTGGATATACGCCACTCACCTATGACGAGAAGGTCGATGGCACTCCCTTTGTTGACAGGCAACTCCCAGAAGAAATGGACGCCGATGGTGGCGGCGATGGTTCTAACAACGACGGCGGCGAATTCAGGTTGGGGAAAGACGGGTTGGGATTCACCGATGTGGACTATTCGACCAAGTGGGATGCAGATGACGCTGGCGGAGGCGAGGACAGTTCAAACGAGGCGACGACAGATTATGACGATTCAAACGAGGAGAACAACGCCGTGGTGAGGACGACGTGGGTAGCCCAGAACCACTCCAATATTCACGGGTGCAAGGTATACACCAGGAAAGCAGCGGTGTACTGCGACTGCTCTGACCGAAGGCTGACGTCGGTACCGACCGACCTGCCACGGAACATAACAAAGCTGGTGTTGTACAACAACTCGATACAATCCGTACCCAACAACACGTTCTGCAACGGATCCTGCCTGTACTGTCGTTTGGGTGCCCTCGTGCTGGCGGGGAATAAAATCTCTCGCTTGGAGCTCGATTCTTTTCGGTGCCTGCCCCGCCTGAGCTACCTCAACCTCAAACACAATGACCTGCGGATGAAAAACGGGACTTTTCCGAGCGGCGTGTTCAAGCACATAAGCCGTCTGAGAAAGTTGATAATCAACCGAAATAACCGGCGTGTCAAGGACAGAAACCTAACGTATCAGGACGAGGCGTTCGGCGATCTGACGCGTCTCAAATACTTGTACGTGGACGGATTGGCCCACAGCTATTTCGGTAAAGGGTTTCGTAGAATGCGCAATCTGACCCACCTGACCCTCAGCGGCTACACCGAGGGTTTTTGTCGGCTGGGGGGACTCTTGAGTTACACCTTTGAAAACCTGCCAAACTTGTCCTTCCTGAACGTCAGCGACTGTTTTATTGACGGGACGCGCTACGAGCAAGGCGCGCTGAAGACTTTACCAAACCTCAAAACGCTCGACCTGTCCTTCAACCTCAACATCGGCTTCGGGGGTATGAAAAAGATATTAAGGGATATTAATGGCACCAAGCTGACGAAGTTGATCGCGAACTCCATCGTGACCCGATTCTCGACGTCCGCGACAATCACGCAGGATCTCGTTGAAAACCTGCCGAAGACCATCCTCTATCTCGAGGCAAGGGAAAACTGTTTCGAATCGGTGGACCCGAAGGTGTTCGATCTACTTCCGGAAAATTTGACGCATCTCGACTTGGGGAGCAATCGGTTTGTCTTCGGTAAATATCTGGAGAACCTCCCTAAGCTTAAGAACTTGGAGACGCTGAAGTTGACCCGCGGGTCCTTCATGTACAACATACCGAGGCAGTACCCGTTCCTGCCGAAGGGCGGGTTTGATGTCTCGTCACGGGACTCGGGTCTGGAACGTGAGCCGCTAGAGACGACGCACAGCTTGGATGACGCTGAGGTGGACGAGGTTGGCTACATGGTGAACCTGATCCTCAGACTTCCCCCGAAGCTGGAATCTATTGAGATGCGGGTGGCCGGCCTTGACTACATTCTTTCTGAGCTCAACGTGGACACCAACAACAGTCTAAAGAATCTCTCCCTTGCATACAACTACTTCCCCAAAGCGAAAGGTCCCATATATGGGCTTCACAGCTTGATCTCTCTTGATCTACGAGAAACGTCCTTGTACTACATCGGTCAGAAGTTTTTCAAAAATTTCCCGTCGCTTGTAAACCTGCTGCTGGCCTCCTGTCAGCTGGGGAACTATTTTTCCACGGCCAAGCTCAACGAGACCATCTTCCACGACCTGACGAACTTAGAGTACCTACTCCTGTCGGACAATCGCCTGACGACTCTCCCGAAAGACGTGTTCAGAGGACTGGACAAGCTGAGGGTGCTCAACCTCGCCGTGAACCAGATCTGGGGGTTCCAAATGGACATCTCCCACATGCTTCAACTCAGGAGCATCAACGTCAGTCACACGGAGCTCCCGACGCTGCCGAAATCGGTGCGAGACCATGTTGATATGTTGCTACGAAGAAAAAACACATCCTTCACTGTGGACATGTCGTTCACGCCCATTCACTGCGACTGCCAGAACCTTGAGTTCCTGCACTGGCTGGTCGACTCCGTGGCGTTCAACGTCGGCGGGTTCAAAAACTACATGTGCCTGTACCCCGACACGTCCCACAAGCAGGTCACGGACGGTTACGTGGAGGACATCAGAGTTCTGGAGAAAAATTGCGCAGAGAATTACCCGGTGTTCTTGGCGGTCCTTGGTGGTACCTTGGTGCTCCTGGGCTGCGTTGTGGCTGGACTGATCTATAGGTGAGTTGCGCTTATCAACAGGTGAGTTGCGTTGATTTACGTGTGAATTTTTGTTTTAGCTGATGTTCAAAACGAAATGAGGTGAAAATAAGTAACTTGTGGATCGCTGATAGCACTTTGTTTATTTGCGTCTCAATTTTGTATAAAATAATTTATGGTTAGCGTCATAAATATATAGCGCCCTCTTTAACTTATAAACAAACTTCTTTTTCTAGAGTTAATCTATAGCGGTAATTCTAATTCCCTCGGACGCTCGACCTACCTCGGACCAGGTCGTAAGCGAACATGAGCCGGTGCCCGCCAAAGCCGGGGTCTGCCCACACCAAGGTGATGGGATCCCACAGAGCCGGGATCTTCCCACACCAAGGCGATGGGATCCCACAGAGCCGGGATCTGCCCACACCAAGGCGATGGGATCCCACAGAGCCGGGATCTGTCCACACCAAGGTGATGGGATCCCACAGAGTCGGGATCTGCCCACACCAAGGCGATGTGATCCCACAGAGCCGGGGTCTGCCCACACCAAGGCGATGGGATCCCAGTAGGATTTTGTGGCGGGAGACGAACGTCCCGCGGGAGGGGATAAATCCATGTTTGTTGATGAGTGCCCCCTGCCCAGGAATAGCAGGACATAACTCGTTAAGGGGTGACCGGTATTACCCGAGGCTGACGTGCCGAACTCCATATCAAGGAGGAGAGTAAGATGGGAGTTTGAGGGATTGAGAATGTTGTCTCCGTCAGAAAAGGGCTTTCGTACAGATCAACCTGTGGCAAACGGGGATCACCCGCCCCCACCCCCCACCCCCACTGGCATTTGACACGAATGCTGGGTGTCGCGACGTTGGCCTGTGTCCCAGTTGATCATTTTCTCGCAAGGTTGCGGGGCTGGCGAGACGGAACAAGCCCCGCGGTCGAGGATAAATGGGCACCGGGTCTTACCAGGTATTTAATGACATGCCCTGAAATGCCAATGACGCATTTGTGTCTGCAATAAGCCGTGATAGAAGCTGTTGGAGCAACGCTACGTATGCCATGCCTGGTGGGGTCTCCGGGCCAATTTGGGCAACGGATCACCCAAATTACGTTACGGCCCTCTGGCCAGACTTTCCTGCTGGCCTCCCTTACGGACACCACACTAGCAGCACACAAACATTAGAAAGTGGGGCCTGTGGCCCGGTGAGGCGAGTCTTCGTTAGTCACCTTTCAACAGCTAATCGCTTTACATCTTTTTAGCCATTCTAAGCTTTCTAAGCACACATCACGATAATAAACCAGGGCCTCTTTAATCAATCTTTAATTACTAATAACTTCACACTGCTCCTGGCACGACTGGTGGCTGTTTAAGATACCAATCATGCTCACAGTCTTCTCTTTTGAATTTTTTTTTTATCTAAAACGAACCTAAGAGCTCTATACGCAGTTATTATTATTTTGACCTTCAATTGTCTAAATATTCAATAAATAGCTGAATGGAGAGAATCTCTCAGGGACGCGGCTTAGACCATAAAGGGGAAATAACCTTGTTCCGATTTCGTTATCCTGGTTATCGCTGGTTATCTCCACTTCCATTTCATCTCCCCCCCCCCCCCCCCCCCCTTTCAGATTTCGCTGGAAGATCACTTCCATTTCATCTCCCCCCCCTCCCCCCCCCATTTCAGATTTCGCTGGAAGATCCGGTACCTCTACTACGCCGCCTACCTGAAGGTCAAGGTCAAGGACAGGACCGGCGACAAGGCCGGGGCCTTCCGGTATGACGTGTTCATCTCCTACGCCCACAACGACGAGGAGTTTGTTCTGTCGGAGCTTGTTCCAGGTATTTTATATGGAACATTTTCTGGAAAATGGAATATTGAAATCAGTCCTGCCACCCCCACCCCCCCACTACCCCCACCATAAAGTGTTGGCAAGCAGAAATAAATTTAACGTGTATTTTTACTTATTTGTTATTGATCGAAATATTCAAGTAACCTACAAATGAATTAATAAGTTCTTGAAAAAAAAAATTATTTTTAAAGAACCGAAACTTAAATCCTTTTAAACGTTCAGGAAAAAAAACTTACAAAGAGCTGTCAAAGGGAGCGGTGGTATAAAATCATTGGGATTAAGACGC